AAAAAAAAAAAAAAAAAAAAAAAAAAAAAAAAAAAAAAAAAAAAGAAAATGTACTTTGGCTTTGTTCCCACCACTTTGTTTTGACCAGGCTCTGTATTTAGTACTTAAATCAGTAGGACCACACTCTTTGAGAAAGGCTGAATTGGGGGTTGGCCTCCAAGAACCAAGGCAGAACCCCTTGGCCTTACTGCCTGTTCCTGTCTAGAACCACACCCTTGGTGTCAGGCCAGAAGTTGGAAGAGCCTTGGGGCCAGGGAGGAGTGAGCCAACATGTTCAAGGCTGTATTTGTCTCCATGTCAGTCTTTGCTTGCGACAATAAAAATGATCAAATGAGCCTGTTTTTTATATTTCTATTGGCAGGGACTGTGTATCATGTTGTTTTTGCCCAAAACACATTTTTATTTATTTATGTTTTTTTGGTGGCCAACTTTGAAGACTTGAGAAATTGAGTCTTGGGTCAAGAAACTGGAATAAGCTTTAAGGGTTGCTATCAACCCAATATTTTATGCAAGTTTTGCTGGCGATACTCAATTCAAACTTCTACAAAATTTAGGAATGAAAATTATTGGTCAAGAGGAAAAGACTTTGAATTCTTAGAATTTAGAAAAAGTCCCCTCTTCCACAACATAATTGTCCAAACAACTTGGGCCAGTTGAAATCAACTTTAATTTACTTTTTAATATCAGTGATAGGCCATAATGGGAGCAACCAGAATTTAGCCACTTCCCTTTGTATAAACAATGACTTTGTGCAGGTTATTTAACCTCACCCAAATCATCCTGCCAGTACTCTCGATAAGTGGTGGATGTCCAGGAAGCCGCCAGCGAATGCCCAAGTGGGGGCTATTTAGGTAGCACTTTTGTTATAACTGGGGAAAGGAAAAAGGAGTTTGGAAAAAGCAGTCCTTAGGCCCCGAGGCCCTCTCTCCTTTCTGTTTTTTGTTTATTCTTTTGTTTTTCATGCAAGATCCAATGTTAGTAATCTGGTTGGTCAGGAGTCATCAGGCCATGTGAAAACTGGCTGCTGTCACCTCTAAGAGTTATAAAAGCAAAAGCTATCATCATAGGAAGGAAGCGTGTCTGTGTAAGAAGCCTCTAGGTTCAGGTGCTGGGTGAGTGGTGTGACAGAGAACTACAGAGGCTCTGTAGGCTGGGCTAGTCTCCTTTCTCTCCAGTCAGTGCTGAAGACTTCCTTTTGTATTTTCCAAATGCCACTTTGTACGTTCCCTTTGGCTTTGATTAAACACGTGTATTTTTATTGTTCTTGAGAGGTGCTAATCTCACCGCCGACTTGGGTTTTAGCCCTGTTTGGATCTCCCCACCACCTCTCTTTTTAATTCCTTCCCCCTTTTTGCCTTCTCTCCCTCTGTCTTTCAAGTCTTGGTACTCATTACTTATTGAAGTTTAACCCCAGCAGTTTGCAGTGCAAATGCATTTAATCTAATAGTTGTATTTTGTGAAAAGGTCCATACAAGATTATTTCTGGTTTCTTTTTCTGTCAAAAGAACCCCCACCCTGAAAGTGTATTTTCTTACTGAAATAATGGAACGAATTGATTTTTTGATTTGGAATGGGCATACCCTTGGTTTGGAATAGGCCTGGAAGTAAAAAAAA